TATACATACATATACACACACACACACACATTACTTTCACATGGACATCTAATTACAGGAACATCTTATTTCACTATTAAAAAAAAAATAAACAAGAATCTGGAATTTACAACAAATGAAATGAAGTGTTTTGCCTCCCACTTAGGCATTCTTAGATAAACACCATTGAACTGATGTCTGTAATTAATCACTCTCCCATGTGATCCAGTCACATGATTTAATGTACATTTTCTATGTATTCATTCCCTGAAAAAGAAGGAGACAAATTAACATTAGTAATATGCTACACATTTGTACTATACAAATACACACATGCACGTTATTATTTTATGAGCACAGAAATTCTATTTCCAGTAGACATTTATTTATTTAACACAGAATAGGTAATCAAAGAGAAGGATGGAAAATACATTTCTAGCAGTCTCGTGTGTGCCCTTTACATGGCCATCATACAAACAGATAAGATTTCATGGTTGAAATAGTTCCCATTATACATACAATGCAAGTAATGTAACTGGTCTAGTAAACCCATGCCTGTGCAAGGCTTAACAGCAAAAGATAGTTTAAAAAACTCTCAACAATGACCTACAGGGTAGTAATATATACATTAATGTTAAACTTTCTTTTTCAGATTTAGGAGTATGCCTAACATGTATTGTGGGTGTGCTTTAGGCTTTCTTTATACAGTAGCTGTCACTTTCATATTAATTTAGGGCTATATGATAAAAAGCCTTGAATAAAAAAAATACTTTTTCTGCCATTAAAGCCATGTTTAGGGTACCATAGGGTACCAATAAATCTGAAATGGTAGGTGCCCAATTTAGCTTTTTTTTAACTGGATTAGACAACAATCTCTTGACTGTGGGTGGCCCCTGAAGCTGCAGGCTGACCACTCTCAAGGGGAAACTAGTGATTAGAGAGGTTTCATTTAACTACCCCGTTCAACACTGTTAGCCCTGATATAGCAATGTTCTACTTACTGCTCTGGCTCTTCCTTTTAATATTAAACTGCTTGTAAGCTTGAGGGAAAACAGTGTTCTTAGGAACGCTGATGTGAACTTGCTATAAGGTGGTGGGGTCATGCTTGTTTGGAGTAACATGGGAAAGCCGTACAGTGCACCAGCACCTTTGGTTCAGTTACACTTATATTATACTTTCCCATGCACCACTAGCAAGTCCTATACTCACCTGTCCTCGATCCAATGACATATCACCTATAAAACCATGGAGCTACTTGTGAAGTTCTTCTGAGTCATGCCTGCAGATGCACAGTAACCTTCCATTTAATCCTATGGAGACTCCATGCTCCAGTGGCTCCAATAGGATTGAACGGAGGGTTTCACTGGTTTATAAAAGTGTATTCAAGTGGACAAGATTTTTAGAACTTGTGGCATGAATATTCCAGTTTTGCAATACACTTTTTATACCAAATTAGCTTAACTTATTTTTGCTATTCTGCTTTTCTATAGTGCATGTATATACATTAATTGACAAATTCAGATTTTTGTTTCAAAAGAAGTGCATAATCACATTTACTTTAAAAGGGTTTGCTTATAATCAGAGGTGATGCTGTACAATGGTATAAAATGATTCATTGATGCTTAACAAAGTAAACAGCTGCTAAAAAACAGCTTACTCTGGTATTCCTTTGAAAGGAAAATAGTACAGAAAAAATAAAACAGAAAAAAGACAAAAAGCTGCAAATGTGCTTCTTTGCATCTCCTTATTGTCTCTGTATTCAAATTTGGAAAATTACAGATGACAAACAGATGCCGTTGCACTGTTTTTGGCTTGCATTATAAAGTACTAGGGCTCCAATATGATTAAAATTTGCAATACTGAAAAGTTCCACTCGAATCTCCAAATGCATGTATACATATTAATAGATACAATGCCATTCACTAAGATACTCTATTTACCTTCTTTGTGTAGGAAACATACCGGATGCAGATGCCTGAGTAGCCACCTGCTGAGTGGCAACAAGGGTAGCAGAGGTCAACCCTAGAGGAAAAGCCCCGTATGAGTACATTCACTTGAATGCAGTGCACATGCATCACAAACTCTCTTCCCCTAACTTTTCAGAAATAAAACAGTCGCACCATTACTCTCAAGACAATGAAGTTCAATTTGGACGGTGGACTGAGGAACTAATTCACACAATAACTATATTTTCTACTATACAGTCTTCAATCTCATTGTCCATTTAAAAAAAATAATACTGTTAGACTTCTGTAACATTATTGTATTTTTTTTTCTTCATAACCCATAGAGTGGACTTATTCAGTATATTTATACTAATAGGTATTTTAATTATTTCATTCTGTTAATGAAACCTTCCATGCATACAGATCAGACCACATAACTATGACGTTCAAGCAGCTTGTTTTAAATATACATGAATTATAGAATATTGATGAACATTAGAAGTCTTTTTCAGCTTCATTTGGATAGTAAGGTAGGATAAGACTGCACTCCCAAATGCACTGAACACGGTCATTTAGATACAAATAAAGCAGCAGTATTTTCATAGATAGTCTTTTAGGATGTAAGCCCTCATGGGCAGGGCCCTCCTTACCATCTTGTCTTGAATTGTATTGTGATTGTAATGTCTTCCTGATATTGTAAAGTGCTGTGCAAACTGTTGGCGTTATATAAATCCTGTATAATAATAATAGTTTGTGACCTTGCTACATTGTGTAGTATATCACAATATTCTTTACAGAACATACAGACTCATCCTGCACTGCAAAAGTCTGCCGTGAATAATTGTTAATTTGCTTTCATGGGTAGTATGTGTACAGCATTGGTGGGAATCTTTGTGAACAAAAGGAAAGCATAGGCTAAATTACATCCCAAAATAAATAAATACCACACGTTCATGATAATGTGATACAGATGCTGCTGGAGATCTCAAAGTCATTAAAATGGCAATTTACTTAGCTTTGTGCACTGCTGCTGACATGCATACAAATGAATATACTTTGTATATGCTCTGTCTTTCTTTTGTGTCTTTTGGAATGCAGCAAAGATCACAATTGTACTAGATACTTATCAAACACTGTGCTAAGCAGGCAATCATACCAAAATCAAAAGCATGACAAAGGGTACAAGTAATAACATAGAATTAATGGTAGTGAAGGAACAAAGATTTAAGAGAGCAGCTACTAACCTTGAAATGGGTCATACTGTCCAGGTATGAGAGGATATCCCATTCCAACATGTGTGTGATGATGCGTATGAAGATGCCGTTGGCTAAAAGGTGAGTGTCTCTCTCTCTCCCTTTCCGATTCTCGTTCTCGCTCAGTTGGAGCTTTTTCTGCCAACTGTGTAGCAGACACAATGGATATTATGTAGTTTACATTATCCAATATAACTCCTTCATAGAGTCTAAAACTTTAGAATACTAAACTAAACACAACACAGATGCTGGCTTCTAAAAAAAAAAGTTATCTATATTTAAACAGTTTGTTCAATCCTATCCCTGAGCAGAGGACCAAAATGGTGTGTCAAGCATTCTAGCTTTCTTTTGGAAGTAGGTTGTGGTATGCCAAGGATGGGGAATTCAGATTATCATATCTGTACCACTGTTAAAAAAAAAAAAAGCAAAGTTGTACTATACAGTAATTACAAGAATTAAATGTATTAAAATCTTCTTCACCAGGAACCACAATTTGCTAACATATTTTGTGAAAAGTACAAACACAGGCATATATGCCTGTTTTGTTGTGTTTGTACTTTATATCTATGGGGTGTGGTATCATGACCTTCCTGCGCTGAACATTACCTATATTTTGCAATTAGAAAATTAAAATGTTTATATATCAGTTAACATTTTTATTACAGGTTTATTTAATAGAGTTCAACAGGTAATGTATTAAGTTAATCTGCACATTGCCCAAGCAAAGCTAAGCTATACATTGACTTTTTAATTGGCTGCACCAGTAGTTTTTACTTAACTTTGTTCCTCTTACCACACCATCAAGAGCGAAGAAAATAACCTAGGAATTCCCCGTATGTGAGAGCATGTGAATGGCTCCCTACCACCTACATGAAAGTGCTAGTGCTTGGCAAATGGGCTTTTATCAGCCAGCTCCTTCACATAATAGCAGGGAGAGAATTCCAAAACCTGTTAAACCCCAAGTTAATTACACAGGGAAAACTTTCTTCACACTTCAAATGAAAATAGCTTTATATATAAAATTTAACCAGAACAAATAGAAAATGTGGGGGGGGGGGGGGGGGAAAAAATCTTAACCCTTGCATTGAGGCTACCCCCACACTGCAAGGGTTAGGTGCTCATTTTGTCCAGGGAGCTAACATAACAAGAGTTATACTCACCTGAACCACGTTCCTGGCTGGCTCCTAGACTGCTCCCTGCTGCCTGTCTCTTCCTCCTCTCCAGCTATGGTATCTACCTCGGCGTCCTCAAATCCAAAACACTGTAAACATGCACAAAGAGAGAGAGCAGCAGTGACCAGTTTTTATGACAGGTAGCTCCTGCACAGAGGCAAGGGGGTTGATTTACTAACCTTATAAACACACCACGAGCAGCAATGTGTTCCCTCCCAGCATGATCTATGGGTGGAATCTAAACACCTTTGTAGTGTGTACACACCCAGCAGGTGTTTTGTGCAAAGCCCTGCCCTGAATTGCAAGGTGATGTTGTGTAAATTAGCTCTACATTGTGTTGCTTGCATTAATGAATGCAGGAATGTAAATGCGTTGGGGGGGGGGGGTTGGAAAAAACATGACATGACACTCACAGCGGGAGACTTGGTGCGGTACTGATTGGCATGCTGCTGCAGTAAGTCTAATGCTTTTGATTCAGATGATGGTTTTGAGTTCATGCTAGGACTGGTACTGGCTTTCTCAGATTCTTCTCTTCCTGACACTTTTCCATAAACTGAGTAGTGAGGAAATCCTGGAGAAAGATAAGCCCCTATAGCAAACAGAAACAAATATTTTTGCTATGTTGAATATTGAGTTTTTTTGCTTTTAAATATTAGGGCTTTACTATTTACAAGAAAGTATAATGCTTGTTCTAACACTTTAAACTTAAGAACTGAAGGAGTACATACACCTGTATAATTAGATAAATAGAATATTGGCTTAATTGGTAAGTACTAGAATGGTTTAAGCATTATCCGACTTTAATAATAGATATAGGTTTATATTTCTGTGACTTGTGACAGGATTCTATAGGAAAAAATGCTGTATAGGAAAGAGATGAGCCAGTCATACCAAAAGACTGTGCTGTGTGGGAGCCCAAAGCAGCGCTCGAAAGTAATTATCTGTGCTTATGTAAAGGCAAAAACAAAGAATGTGTTGTTTATAATGCAGTTTTAAGGCCTAATTTTAGCATCGTCTATGGAGTCAAGGCAAGGATTTAGCTTTGCAGAGCTTTTTAAGAAAACAGTTTCAACCATCAGAACCATTTGTTCTTGCAAGTGCTTCTGTCAGTTATTTTCTTTTTAATTTGCACAATTTTGAGCTTTTCTATTAAGAAAAGGGAAAGAATATGTAAATCAGGTGTATACCTCCTCTGTTTATTGGCAAGGTTACAAAATACATCACAACAGATCCAAGAAAGGGCAGATGCATTATCATATACTGTGCAACATCAGCCCACCTAGAAGTCCTATAGGTAGACATTAGATTGTGTATGCTAAAATAATTGCCCCAGATGATGTTAAAGTATATCACTGAACAAAATGTGACATTTCAATAAAGTTCTAACAAAAAAGTACACAGTGTGATGCTCTGGGATCAGCGCTTTGGCACTATGCCAGGGGGACCGCACATAAGATGCTGAGAGATTAGCGCAACATCTGGAGGTAATGGGCCCTTAAAGGTGTATTTTCTCAAAAATACCTTAGGACATCAAATATCCCCTTTCCCAACAGATGTCACATCTGTTAAACTTAAAAGTTAGTAGACTTTAAATATCTTCTACTTACCTGGATAACTATGCATTAAAACTGGAGACACTGCCCGATATGCTGGGTGATTGGGATCATACATCTGCGTATATGGGTAGGCATGCAAATACTGAATATATGATTGATGTTGGCTCATAGGTGAGGAAACAGCAACTCTTGCATTTCTTGAATCTTTCCAGTTTACAGGAGTCTTCCTGTCATCATTCTTAATCTTGCTTTCTTCTCCTAACTGGGATTCAGGGCGCTTGACCTCTTTGGTCTCCTCTTTTGTGACTGGTAATGTCACTGATAACACATTTTCTTTAGTAGGAGTTTTCTGCAAGTTCTCTTCCTTTATCTTCTTGTCTCTCTCTATTTCTTCAGGTTTTTGTTGTTCTATGTACTTAGACTGGTAAATATAATGGTGCCATCTTGAGTCAACCTCCTTAAAAGAAGAGCATTTCATTCAGTTAAACTAGATATTCAATGTCAGAACCATACATGCAGAGCTATATATGTTCTGCAGCTGTTGTGAACATATGTGTAATTTTTAATTGAAATTAGGATTACTTCCAAAAACACTTTAAACAGGTTGATTATAATGGATAACATCACTACTATCCTTTACCTAAAGTGGCCCTGTTCAAATTATATTATATGCACTCTGTAAAATAGGTTAATACTTTCCTTCCCACTGGGTGGTGAGCTAAAACTTTGCTCTCTTGAAGAACAGTGGGCTTCCATGGTATACAACACTTCTGGATGTGTCAGATACCTGGTCCCCAGCTGAGCTCTTGGTGACCGCTACTTCACTACAGGCCATAGTAATGATACAAAACCAGTGGTGCCCATAGTTCCTGAAGAGTGTAGTCTGACTCACAACCCACTGGAAAGCTTAGTAATCAACATGTAAATTTCCAGAGCATGTTTACATTTTTTTTACTGGGTTGCTTCAAGTCTTTCCCAATTGAGGTTACTTTATGGTGATTTTCCTCTTTAAGGGTAACCATTATTTACCCAATAAATCACAAGCAAGGCTTCTTAAGATTAAAGTGCTCCATATCCCACAGGAAAACTTCTATCTTGTTAGACAATCTCATGTTGAGTGGACTTGAACCTTTATTCTTCTATTACCATTTGTATGCGAGCCACAGCAGGTCCTAGCACTGTAGCACATCACTTGAGGACAGGCAGATATCCTATTTGTTGTTCTTAGAAAGACATCTGCCTGTTAAGGCTTACCCTAAGCCTACTAACTTTTGGCTTATTTTCCTTATAGTTTACACTTTAAGGATCTGTATTATTATGGATTAAATGTAATTTTTTTTCAAAACTGGAAAACAAAAGTATAACAGTAATATAGAATGTTACAAATTAACCCAGATATTAACAATCTTATTGTTGTGAAGCTAGGTTATAGATGTAATTCAAATTTGAACAATCAATAGATACATTTTACATAATAGAAAAGCTAAACACCCTGGTAAATCTATCAATGATTATATATTGGTCTTACCTGCTTAAATCTTGCAGTGGGATCTACTCCTGTTTGTTTCATTGAATCCATTACAGATTTCATTTCTACTGCCTCTTTTATAAGTTGGTGGTTTTCCATTTGCTTTGCCTTAAAGCTATCACATGGAAGTTGCTGTTGCTGAGGATTGGGCAACATTTGGGGTTTCACAGGATCTTCTGTTTTACTGACAACACTTATTTTAGAGTTCACTTTACTTGGTTCTGGAGTAGAAGGTGCTTTTGAAATGGTAGCACATGGCATATTTTTCAATTTGCCATCATCTTTTCCTGGCTCCTTAGATGAACTGTCAGATTTTCTTTCACACTCCCTTACAGTTTGTGGCATTTTTTGCTCTGCCATTCTCTGGTCTTCATAATATTTTTCATACTGTTGCCTGTATGCAGGGTTTGATGCAATTAAAGACTTTTGGTCCATATATAGTCCATAAGCATACTGTCCGTAGTAAAGTGACTGGGCTAGTGCAGGGTGCCTTTGCGTGATAACAGATTGATGCTGAGGTGGCACATTAGTGCAACTTGTGTCATTCTTTTTACTGTCCATACTGTCAGATTTCTCTTTCTTTTCAACTTCTTCATCTACTTCTTTTTTGCTTTTGCCACCCTGAGAAGAATTAATATTTCCAGTTACAGAAGTGTTGACCTGTCCAGAATGCACATAGGTTGGGGAATAATAAGGGTCATAACCATGATAATATGGAGAATGAGATTCTTTCATCTGAGATGACTGAGAAATAGGTGTAGAATGACCCTTATCATCTTCTTGATTACATATAATATCAGTGGGGGAGCTAGTCTTTGACCTCATGCCCTCTGATCTGCTATCAGAACCACCATCATCAGCAGCATCTGAAATATCGGAGTACGCTGGACTATTTGTTTTAGTAGCAGAACTATCCCCACCATTTTGTGTCATGACATGCAGCGGAGCCATCGGGGGCTGTCCATTTATCACAGTGCTGCATTCAACCCTAGAGGCACTTCCTATAGATGGGCTTGGTGCATTGTCAGTAAATGTATAGACCTTATCTGCTTCAGCTTTGATACTTGCCATTCGGCTTTCTTGTGTTTCAGACAGTCCATTAGTAAGAGATTCACTCTTGTTAAGAGGATCTTTTAAAAAATTACTTGGCAAATCCTTTCCAGATCCTTTTAAATCCTCTACTTTACAAATTTTAGAGTCTTCCTTAGGGCTTACGGGATCTTTACTTTCCTTCTCCTTTAGTTTTCTTTTTTCCTTTTTCTTTTTGTCCTTGAGTGATGTGAGAGAAGGATTTACAGTGCTTGGCTCACCCATAATTGTAGGCTTTGGTTGAATAGGTTTTAATGGGGGGCTCTTTGGTGTTGCCTGGCAAACAGGAGTTGTTAAAGAGGGTAATCCTGTTATTGTTCCTGTAGTTGTGTTTGTAAAGGCTGCACTAGGTATAGCTATTAATTGAGGAGGTGTGGGAGCTGGAGCTGGAGCAATTGGGCGAGCGGTTTTCAGTTTTGAAAGGTTTTTCTCAACCTTACAGTTGTTGGATTTTTTACTTTTTTCATTTTTCTTGTCGATCAGTCCTTCTGCTTCCAGTTTTGGCATTTCTACCATGAGATTGCCATCTAAGACTGCACAATTTTCCAGTGAAACTGACATGTTTGATATTACAGGAAGGTTATTAAGTTCCACATTCAGAACTTTTTTTTTTGCAGAATTCTTGCCAGTTTTGGAATGAACCTGGATTGGACAGTTGTTTGTCAAATCCCGTTTGCCCTTTGGTGTGCCAGGTGCACTTTGTAAACCAGGCGACATAGGTGTTTTTATTTGATCCAAATTTGTGCTTGACTCATTGCACTCAAGTGCAACATTGCTCAGAGCTTCCTCACAGTCTGAAACTTTGTCCTCGCTATCCTGCTCAAACTCCAGTTTGTTTTCAGGGTCCAAATGTGCGTGTGCCTGGTGATATCTCAGTCCATTTATGTGCTTGTACTTTTTGTTGCAGTTTGGATGCGGACAGTCTATTAAAACTGGAGAAGAGCAGCCTTGGTCCAAAAACGAGTTCTCATTTTTGCCTTGTGGAGTTGTTGGCATGCTACGAGAATTTGAACGAACCCTTTTCCCGGATTTAAAGTCCTCTGAACTGGAATTGAGATCTAGTTCCATTGGAGGCTTTTTCCTCTTGCCAACAGGTGAAGGACTTGCTTTAACATCCTCAATTGAACAATTTGGGGGGGTCCGACGACCACTTGTATTAATGCTTCCACGTCTCCCTTTCCCATGAGCTCCTCCTCTGTTTTTATTGTGGAGCCCTCTTGATTCTGTAAAATTTGCATCACTGCCAGGAGCTGGTGCTGCTGCTGCTGCTCCTGGTGCTGCTGACCTTGCCCTCTTTCCCCTTCCACGACCCCCTCGCATTTCAAGGTCACTTGTAGGTGAATCACAAAACCTGTGCATAAAAAAATAAAAAAAGTTATAATAATGTGAAATTTACTTTACACTTTGTTGCAGCTTTTATATGGACCTACTAGCAGTTGAAGAGAACAGGTTCTTTGTCAGTGTAATGCAAAATAGGAACTCTACTTTAATATCGGCAGCTGTGTGTGCCAGCAAAAATGTGGACATGTTTCTTAACCCTACTTAACTCTTATCCCACTTGTTAGCCAGTTGTTCAAATTGAAAGCAAGACTTAGTGGCACAATAACCACATCATGATGATGATGAATCCAGAAGCATATTCTTTAATCATTATGCCAAACACCATTTTGTTTTATTTATTTATATCAAAATACTTCTATGTTTTATGTTATAATTCTCACAATACAATAGCGTGGGGGAGTGCTAGAACAGTATAGTATGACATAAGGGGTCAAGGTTATTGCCTGAACAGTTAGGGTTCAAAGATGTGTAAAATATGGGGAGAGTAGACATAATACATAATCTATAAGAGGGATAATACAGAACAGCACCTCTCTCATCCACAAGGTACAGGTAAGGCAAATTTGTTAGTTTGACTTCAAGTCAGTCTTACCTTGGAGGAGCCCAGTCATGCTTCGTGCAATCTAGTAAAGTACCAACATATGTCTTATTCCGCCATGTAACATTAACAACCAAAACACCTGCAAAAAGAAAGACTGTTAGTGAGTTTATTTTGGTAGGTCTATAAACACAGTCAATCATTTGAATACATGTTAATAGATATGGTTGATTTGCTTCCTTTTTTTGGTTTTAGCGGCCCCTGAAATGTTCAGGAAATGGTTTGTGTGTATGTACAATCAAGACACAACTGAAGAACTGACAGCAGGAAATAGCTGTTGCCATGTCCTGCATTAGAATTACTACTATTTACTGTTACTATTATACAAATGTGTTCATTTTTTTGACAGTTTAAAAAAATGTCATAAACCACTTTGAAAGAAAAAACTAATTTTTACCTAAATGAGAATTAAGCCCACACAGAAACGGAACTGGTATCTGCCTATATCAGAAAGAAATCAGTGGCATCATGCACCAATGACAATAAACAAAAACTTGCATTATAAAAATGTAAGAGTAACATGTACTGTATACTGTAAGAGAAAAGAATATATTAATATAATATTCTAGTCTGAGATAGGTAAGCTATGCCTTGTGTAGTCATCTTTGGTTCTTTATATAAATTGATCATGTAAAATGTGCCTTTAGTGAAACTGTCCATTTGAAATATCACTATGATCTAATCATTCATAAGCTTTTCTAGGGGTACCAACAAATCTATCCAGGTAATTTTAGAATATCTAGAGTAAGCAATAATTTGTCACTTTCCATGCTTTACTCTGACATATCAAAGGCATGCAGGTTTACATGTGACTATTGCTTTTAATTTCATCACTTTTCAGGAGGAATGAAGCATTGTTTTAATGAGCTGTAAGGGTGCAAACACATTTGTCCATGCTTGTACATGCTACTGTAAACCTTTTGCAAATTCAGAGCAGTATTTTATGCAATTTATAGTAAATGGGACTATGTTGCAAAGTCTGTGATCAAGCATATGTGTGTAATGAAGCCTGCTTGAAAGAAAACATAAAAGACACAGAAAACCCAACATTCATTGACTAATAGAAAACATAAAAGCTTGCACAAATACTTAAACGGGATCCTTAGTAAAAAGGCTTTTGTTATTTCCTTTTCCCTCGGGGGTTCAACATTCTCGAAATAAGTCAATGAAAGATTGGTGGTGAGCCCTGGTAGCAAACAATTCATTGTGACTGACCAGAATTAGTTCTGTAGGTTCACAGCTTTTACATTAATGTGTTTGTAGGCAGCTAAACTGTTTATTGTTGAGAAGTCAACTAGTATGGTAAACCCTATTTTCATTTGGCATTAAAATGAGAATATGTAAACCCCACCTCACAACACAAAGACACCCGGAACATAAAAACAAATGGAACATATAAAGCTATTAAAATGTCTTAGGTCACTCACAAAACCTTTGGGCAAAAAACTCAAAGGAGATCTATATTGATGTGTTGACTTGCATAAGTCATGGCTCTGCTATTATTTTTTAGGCATCCCAGCAAGACAAGGTTTTAATATTTGCAGACTACTATGGGTGCCCAAAGGGAATAATTGCTCTTGAGTCCTATAGAAGTCTAACATGCTAGGAAAATCACAGTAGAATACCAACAACTTCCAATGCCCATACATGCTTGTTATCACTAGAACATAAAATTATGTATTGCCTTGATGAAACACAGGCATTGCTTAAACTGATTTCAGAGAACATCGGAAACATTTATATCACAAACAATTTAGTGTTCTACAAATTCTCATTTTTTTCCCACTGTAAATTCCATTTGTTCAATGTTGATAAATATAAAAAGAATACTGGAAAACTGCTAAATCAAAAAGCACAAAATAGCAAACCACAGTGGTGAAAAAGTTTTTATCAATACGTCTAAATCTGAAAAGGAAAAAGGAGTGAAAATAGCAGCAAATCAGCTACTTTGAATTTTTACACCTCAGTCTCAAAGACCACATTTTGCAAGTAATGTAAATATTCTGTAAAGTATTTTCCATATCCTGATACTAATCTATAAATGTTAGCTGGGGGACTGGCTGTCATTGCTGTTAAATAATAAGACATCTTAAATACTTCCTAGATCAGGAATATACTATTGACCAGACTCTTTCACCAATTATTTGTACCTTTTTTTAAATGTATATAAACCCAAGAGCAAAGATTTATGATATTGCATCTTACCAGTCCTTAGATTTATTTTCAGACATTTATCTTTTATTTCCACTAGTGACCCAGCCAGTAACACTATTCCTAAAATAGCTTGACAACACACACTTACTGTACTGTATCTATGGGGCAGTGAGGTTGTCACCCTAGGACAGGATTACAGAACATATCTTTCAATCTTCGCCGTAACATGGGAATGTTTTGTAGTCTTCAGAGATAGCTGGGAACAATGTAGCTCCCTAACTGTGTTGTGCATATGATTCTCCTATATAAAGTAAAATAATAGCAATTGTCACAACATTCTTTTTGGATCAACTTTAGTGGCCCCTCAACGGTCTTGTGGGACAAATACTACATAAGTGAGAATTGTTTGACAGCAAAGGGAATTCAGGTGTGAAAACCTGTAAACACATATCTATTCCACAAAGAACAAATCCACACAAACTTAACTGGTTGAGCAATGTTTTCCAGCTTTGTAAAACAAACTCTCTGCTGCCTGCATCAACAAAGATTTCTAGAGAGGTGAAACTCCTGCTGTTTGTAAATTACCTACAGAGCTTTTCAAGTATTAGATTAAATGCGTTCACAATGTTTATTTTCCCATACAAAAATGTAAGAATACTGATGGATCTGTTTATTTATTTTGACATGTAAAAATGACAGCATGCAGCATTCAGCACTATTCAAACATTTAGGAAGCAATACATACTGCTATGCATTACTAAAATGGAAAACACAAAATTGTTTAAGAGATAAAAAGACTGACTGCCTATTTTGTGTGTTTGCACACAAATGATTAGAAACGAACCAATAGAAAATGTGCTATTGATCCACAGATCAGATTTCAGCCTAGTATAAAGGCAAAAACACAGTTTGCTGTGTGTGATTGGCAGCCTGTTCTGAATTGAAACAAAGTAGAGCAATCCTTTTTTTTTATAATGGCTCTCAGCATAGCTCAAAACTTGGAGTGCTTGAAGATTAGCCTGTAATCCTGTAGTAATTGAATTTCTAGTGCGTTCCAATGCATTTGCATGCATTTACAAGCATTTTGGTACATTCCAGACCAGAAAAAAATAGTACAAGCAGTACTTTTTTTTAAATGTTCTGGAACTGAACTAAATGGTGTGAACAAACCTCATGTTTTACCACAGGAATGAATACATATGCATTTTTTGGAGTAGACAAAAAACGTTCTGGTGTGGACATGGTGTGAACAAGCCATAAGGCTATGTTCACACCATATTTGGAGCAGATCTGCAACCGCAGTGCAGTGCTTTTTTGCCAGGGTTTTTGTTAGCCTAAAATGAGCTTGCAGGTGCAGTCCAGTGTGTTCCAGTGCATTTGCAAACATTTGTATGCATTTTATAAGCATTTCCATGTGTTCCAGTGCATTCCAGAGAAAATAAGACCAGCAGTTTTTTTTTGTCTGGACCGGAACGGACTGCGCTGGTGTGAACAGAGCCCAGAAAATGCCATAGGGATACATTGGGATGCTTTTTTGGTCCAAGAACAAAATGTTCTGGTCTGGACATGGTCCAGACATCGTGTGAACAAGCCATAGACAGAAAGTCAGCGAAGGTTTGGTTAATTCAGTATTAGAAAACCAGTAGTCATTTGTAGCTGAGGGTTCCTATACAATGATGTGACTGTTGTCTGTTTTATACCACAAGGTCACTGTGTATTACACGCTAGGTTATACACATACAAATATATTGAGTATGGATAGATTTTGTTTATTACAGTGAACATTTTTTTCACTAGATACACATATCTGTTAAAAAGTGCAAGCACCCCTAAGGTTGTTAAGCTGACAGCTCTATTGTGTAGGTGTAGGCAAAACCTGCAACCTGCAAGAGGCAATAGGGTGGGAAAACCCAATTTTGCTCTGAGATTCCTTTGCTGGTGGTGTTTTAAATTTGTTATGTCAAGTCAAAACATTTTATTTTGGTTTTGACTAGAATTTGGAAGGTTTAAAAACTGTCAGGTTTATTATTTCTATTCATGTCTGGGGAGATTTGCCATCACTAATGGACCTAGTGACCATTGGTACAAATGTGTATGAGAACACTAACATTTTAGATTTTCCACAGGAATAGGAGGCGAGGTGAAAAGAGAGAAGCTGATTGGTTGCTCCAGGTTCTGTTTGCTCAAGTTTTCATAAATTCCCCCCAGTGTGTTTTTAATGTATCTGTTCTAACAGTCATCGGTAAATGACAAGAATGGTGGGGGAGGGGAGGCACATTGAGGAACCTGGACTTGGGGCAGCAGAGAGAGTAAATCTGACCCAGGAGAGGGAGAGATCTGAGAGAGACACACAGAATGCGGTGACAGAGAGAAGAGACACAACAAGTACAGATCTTCATAGCACACGCACCGACACACAGAACACAGTGACAGAGAGAAGGTCTACAGACACAGCAAGTGCAGGAGACACACGGAGCTATGAGGAGATCTTCCTCACACACACAAAGCTATGAGGAGATGTGATGATGATTCATAGGGAGGAGTTATCCTCTCTGCTCTCTCCTCAGAGCTGAGTGTGTGCTTGTTCATTAGGAGGGGGGAGGGGTCAGCACACTGAACTGAGCAGAGAGGAATCAGCTGATTGGAGTTTACAGATAACAACCTGGATTGAAGATCCTGTGGAGGGAATTTTGAATTTCTAGGTCTCTGGCCTGTGAAAAAGTTTTTTTAAATAAAGTTTGAAAAACATCCCTGTGACCCCTGACAATGCACACACATATACGTCAACCCTGCTGCTCTACATTACCACAAAAAAACACAATCAATCACTTATAAAAGGTGGAAATAGGCTTTAAAAAACTTTGCATACATGTGACTTGAGGGATGTTTCTGTTTTAAATAATAAAAGATGCAAGCACGAGTTGCTTA